ATAAATAGTACATATAACTATTGTAACAGTAGGAATATTCGAATGGGAAATTGCAAGAAACCTAAGTCACTTATTGTATTGCAGGGAAAAAAATAGAAGCCTCCATTTCACCAACTTTATAAATTAATTTATAAGTAGTCAAATCAATTTATAAATGATTAAATTTCATTTTTAATCATATATTTTAATGGACTCATAAGTATTATACACTAATTCGTCACTGATTTTTAGTCACCTATATATAAATTAATTTGTTTATAAATTTTCTCAAGTGGGAAAATATTGTTGTTTTTGTTCTGAATATATTTAAAAATCGAAACTCTTGTAAGGGAAAAAAAAAAGGGAAAAAGGAAAATCATTTTTATATCAAAGTTCTTACATATTCTTTTCTCCGTATTTTAGTATTTTGGTAATTCCTAGTTCAATTCAAGCAATGTCTCCTCAAAAACTCTAGAACACATTCAAGTTAAAAAAAAAAAAAACGTTTCTTACTTTTTGTATTGATTAAAAATTCAGAAATTTGAAGAAAACTTTTATTCATAAATTTGGGAATTACGTTCAAGAGCGACAATTAATTTTATGACAATATTATTCCACAATATTAGGAAATAAGATTAAAATTTGATTCATTGTACTGATTTTTTTTTCTTCTTTTTTTGGGTAAAATTCTTATTTTTAAATATAGAATATTTTGGTCAATAAAAAGTAGTCACCATTCCCATCCCTTAATGGTTTCCTAAAATCCTTTATATTCTATTTCTTGAACATGAAAAGTAATTATCGCACGAAATAAATGGCGTGTACCAAAGGTATAATGTTCCTCATCACGAGAAATTTCATTTGACCATGTTTGATGCTAATATGCTTGTAAAAAAAATTTACGTGTAGGGTCTCATGATAATTTATCGTCTAGGACCTCAAAACTTTGAGGGCTTTTGAGGCCTGGCCCTGTCTTGGACCACTGTTCATATATACATACAACACATAAATCCTATATATTCATGTAACATGTATTTATATAAATGCAGTATAGACTAATACACTTGATGCTGACCATGATACAATCGATTAACTACTATTTCTTCGTCCAACGTAGATAACTATTACATACCAAAATTCATGTTTCTTCTTCAAGAATCATTGGTTCGAGTCTTAGATTACAACTGTTCAGCACATCGCTAATAATAATTTGACAAGTTTTCTATCAATAAATTGCTCATTCGAAATCAAAAGAAGATAAAACATATTTAATTTTTTAGTCCGTATATTCAATAACGTAAGTCATTCGATAACTAATTACATAAAAGAAAGGTATTTAAATATCAATCACTTCTCTTAAAAACCCTAATCCCCTTCCAACGAGACTCCATATAGAAGGAAGCATTTTTTTGGGCATAAACTCCACACTTGAAATAATGAAAAGTTCCTCCTAGGTCAAGAGTTTCATATTTGGAGATTCCATTAATGTAAATCCTTAGTTTCCTGGTCTCCACTTCATGGATTACATTCAGTCTGAACCATTTATCATATACTTTTGGGTAAATGACAGACGTGTTGAAGTATGAGAGTGAGCCATTGTTAACTCCGAGTATAAAGGATGTGTTATGAGGTAGGGTTGCTCCGAAAACTTGCATGATGGACACGCCCGATGTTCCACATGGTACATATCCATATGCTTCAAATTGCCATACACCCGAGTAGTAGGTGTATCCCTAAGAAGAAAAAGAGTCGAAGACCATTAAAATAGATAAGTACGTTCATGGTGTCCAAAAACAATGAATATGTTTGTATATGATGTGTTTCAAAAAATGATACATGCCTTGCACATAAAAGTGAGCGTGTTGAAGGAAATCTAAATAAATAGTATGATCATCTCTAACAGTATAAACTTTTAGATTAGATAGTTCGACAAAAAAAGAAAAAATGCAGAATGCGTATGATTGAATTGTATATCGACTCCATTCCACGCAAACTAAAATAACACAAGTTTTGCTATATATGTCTTAATTCATGATATAATGTTCTTTAATATGTACATCGCTTTCAAGAACTCCCAAGGATATGAATATACTATACATGAGTCTTTCTACATGAACAAGCACACATACTCTGTGTGTGTGTGTGTGAGAGAGAGAGAAAGAGAGTATTACGCTTATAATTATCTCAGAGCGAGGCCTGGTGGGACTATTTCGTGATAAAGGTTTATCGGTAGAGAAGACCCATAACTTATGAACTCCATTGATGAAGCTGTACCTTTGTTCAACAGGCAAGTCATAGGGTTTTTGAATGTGATAAAAGGATGTGTTAAATGGGAGTTCTTTAAAGCCATGAGTTAAATCATTTGACCATCCCCTGGCAAGGCAAACACATAATGTAAAAGCTATGCTCAAAGGAGCAAATTGATAGTGAGATCCCATCTAGCTTTTCCTTGAGAATTCTCAATTGAAAAAGGGTTTGGAGGGTGAAATTATTTCTGCACATATAACTTTCTGATCATGTTATAGTCACACACTTTGGCATTTTATATTTTGTTTCAAGTGTTAGGTAAGGAAATTAAGAAATGAAAGCAGTTAATTAGGAATTATTAATTAATCTAAGGGGGATGGATTGCAGCATAGCCGAAGACTAGATAGAGTACAAATAAAAAAGACATCATTGTAACAACAGGAACGTTCGAAAGAGAAAATGTTTTAAATTTTGTCTTGATATAACTTTTTCTCATTGATGATTTTGTCCTCTTTTTTCTTTATGGAGAAATATTCGGTCATTAAAAGTTTTAGTAGCGACAAAAAAAAATTGCATTTCTTTCATCCTTAAAAAACATAGAACAATGATGAAATATATGTGGTTGAAAACATATTTAAAACTATGCAAGAACGGCAAAAATTTCAATTAAAAATTCGTTGTGACCAAAAAAAAATTCCTATTTTGGTTGTTAGACACTTCAATTTATTGTTTAAACTACCGCTAACAATTGAATTCTTTTTACTGTAGAAATAGATTGTTCGGTCCTTAAAACGCTTGACATTAAGTCAGCAATTAGATGACATTAATTGAACTACAACACTTTAACGATACATAAACAATAATTGTAAGACAACTGAAATTAAAAATCATAACATCATTGTGATAGCTGCATTTGAACTACTCCACTCGATGGGCAAACAGTGCAACGGAAGGAAGGATTTTATGGCTCTTAAACTCGATGTGAGTAAGGCCTATGACAGAGTAGGGATTTCATTATTCAGTAATGGAGAGAATATTGCATTCACGGTTAACAAATAGCATTACTCTAAAATAAAAGAGTCTTGTTCCATTACATTTAATTGAACCTTTCGTTTAAAGATGGATATGTTCCACATAGACCCGTGTTTAACACCATGATGCTAAAAACGTCAACAAGTATTAGGTTGTATTATGTACTCGTTTCTTGTTTCATTTCTATGTAGACTTTGTTCTATTTACTAATATTACAACCCACAAAAGCTAGACATATACAAAGAGCATATATAGCATGCAGTTTTGATAATGACTCGGCATTGCTAAAGAAGAAAATTGCAATTTTTTCCACAATACTAGCATACAGAATCAAATTCATCTGATAAATGCTATGACCTTGTTTGGTAGTAGTTTTAAGTTGTTACATCTCTTTGAGATGCTTAATCCATCGATGCATTGCGAATAATCAGTTGACAAGTTTTCTACGAATAAGGTGTGTTAGATATTGTGCTCTAAACCACCGAGGAACCAGGCTCAGTATATCCAAAATCGACACCACAACCAAACTGAATCAATCCCAAACCAACCGGTTGCTCCAACAAAAATCGGCCCACAAAGGACTCGGTGTGAAGAAGGAGGTGGCCTCAGTGTTCAGCCACCAAGGCTAAGGAAGAAGGAAGAGAACGGAGCACCAAAAGGCACAAAGCCAAAGCACAAAACAAGAGGATGGAATCGGTTTTTCTCAAGAAACACGGCTGCCCCTCAATCCTCTCACCCTTACCAAAAGTAATGGGCAAGGGGTTAAATAGGCGAACTTTAGGTTTGGCCCTTATGTCAAATGATAGGGCCCAATATGAAGAGTATAATTGGGCTAACAACCGTAAAGCCATCCAAGTCTTCCGAACGATTGTGGTGTCGATATTTTACTTCACTCATCGGCCGAAGCCTATGAAGTATAATCCATCAAAATCGATTTAACATCATCGTCAGGATTTATTGGGTATCAAAACCCAACAAGGTGTTCATTAGAAATCAAAAGAAAGATAAAACATTTTTAATTTGACACCCCATATATTCAAGAATGTATGGCAATTTTATTCGACTACAAATTACTTTTAAGAGAAGGAGATAATTAATTCTCAATCACATTTCTTAAAAACTCGAATCCCTTTCCAACGAGACTCCATATAGTATGAAGCATTAGTCCCTGCATAAACCCCACACTTGAAATAATGAGAAGTCCCTCCTCGGTCCAGAGTTTCATATTTGAAGATTCCATTAATGTAAACCTTTAGTTTCCTGGTCTCCACTTCGTGGATTACATTCAGCCTGAACCATTTATCATATGCTTTTGGGTAAATGACGGGCGCGTTGAAGTATGTGAGCGAGCCATTATTGTCAACTCCGAGGATAAAGGATGTGTTATGAGGTAGGGTTGCTCCGAAAACTTGCATTATGGACACGATCGAAGTTCCACACGGTACATATCCATACGCTTCAAATTGCCATACACCCGAGGAGTAGATGTATCCCTATAAAGAAGAAGAAGGTGTTGAATATCATATGAAATACATAATTTTCTTCCTGATTTCTAAAAATTTAAATTTTTAGATGACGTGGTTCAACATGATAAATGACTTACATGTGAAGGGAGCATGTTGAAGATAATCGAAATAAGTTTGTTTCATATCTTTCAAAAACTTTTAGATGAGATAGTTCTGCTGTGGTTGTTCATATAATTTCTATGACTCTTCTACCTGAACGAGCACGCACATACATTTAAATTTTAGAGAGAGAGAGAGAGAGAGAGTATTACACTTATACTTATCTCAGAGCGAGGCTTGGTGGGACTATTTCGAGATAAAGGTTTATCAGTAGAGAAGACCCATAATTTATGAACTCCATTGATGAAGCTGTACCTTTGCTCAACAGGCAAGTCATATGGTTTTTGAATGTGATAAAAGGATGTGTTAAATGGGAGTTCTATAAAGCCATGAGTGAGATTTTTTGACCATCCCCTGGCAAGCCAAGTACAAAATGAAAAGGCTATGCTCCAAAGAGCAAATTGATAATGAATCCCCATCTAGCTTTTCCTTGAGAAATGGCTATGGAAGTAAGGTCAAAATTATGTCTCTTTGCCTTATCATTTTATATTCAAACACTTTGCCTTATTATATTTTGTATAATAGTTAGTTAAAGAAATTAACAAATGAATACTGTCAAGTAGGAAATTAAAGAAGGAATAATTAACTAATTTAAGGGGGATTGATTGCAGCATATTGGAAAGACTAGATAGAGTGCAAATAAAAAAGACACCATTGTAATAATAGGAACATTAGAAAAAGAAAATGTTTTCAACAATGACATATTTTGTCTTGATATAACATTTTCTCATCGATGATTTTGTCCCCTTTTTTTCTCTAAGGAGAAACAATTGGTCATTAAAAATATAAGTAGCAACAAAAAAACTTGTATAAAAAAACTTGTATTCATTTCGTTATTAAAAAACATAGAACAATGATGAAATATATGTCGTTAAAAATGTATTTAATAACGATATATTTATATTTTTTTCATTAAAAATATGTGCGAAAGAAAAAAATTTCGATTTTGGTTGCTAAATTTACTTTAATTTACTATTAAAACACTTTGAACTTTTTTTTTTTTAATTATAAAGAAATAAGTAATGTTATTTATAAGCACTATTTCTTGGACAACCAAAAATTGGTCCATAAAAACGTTTATAACAAGTAAGATGGTAATTAAATGACGTTAATATCCATAAAATTGAACTTCAATACATTAACAATAATAATATTATTAAAGTTAGGATAATAATTGTAAGATAACTGAAATTACTGTGTTCATCGGTGTAGCCAAATCTTTTACCTAAAATTTGATTAAAGAGTTGTGTCAAAGGTATAGAATGTTTGCTCAACCCTACTTGAGGATATTGTCTTACCTATGATGAGGCCTTGGTCTCATTTTCAAAAGTCTGGGAAATGCACAATTTCATTAAATGGGTGACAGCAAGACTTGAACTTAGAATCTTTACTTTATCTAATACTGTATTGAATTATTTCATTTAAAAGATATTAAAACCATATGCATATCATTTTAATATTGTATTCAACAATAAGTACGTAATCGGAAAGAGAAAATTGAAAAATAATCCCCATCTAGCTTGAGAATAGGCAATTGAAGTGCTGTGGAGGATAAAATGACATTTGAGATGTTTGTGTTACTTATACTCACTAAAATAATCTTGGAGAGTGAAATGATACCTGCATAATTATTTTTCTAATGATATTATAGTCAAATGCTTTGGCTTATTATGTTTCTGTATCATTCATGCGAGTAACAGCACTGTACCGACCGAAGCAGGAGATTATTTGTTGCTGCAGCTTATAAAAAATAGAAGAGTTATTCCCTAAGTACGGGGAATAACTCACAGAATTTGTATAGCATCCCGTGCATCTCTGTGTGTGTTTTTTCCATCTTTAAATTTGTGTTGTCCATTTCAAATTTCTGTACCAATTTCCTGTACCTGTAGAATGATTCAACATAGAACTCACGCATATTTTACATATAAACGTCTGTATGGATAAATATATAAAATGTACATATGTATTTACATAAAATTTTGGAACACGAGTTGATATGACTGATGTCTAGTTCCACAAAACCGAAGATGTTTCACCTAGCTAATTTTCACAGCAAATCTGAATCGAATGTTTCGATTATTGTTGAATTTCACACTACGCATCAAGAAGGAGACAGAAGATTCACAAATTCACCACTTAATTACTGGCCAAGGAGTTCGCCACATCAATCACAAAACGGTATCCGACATCAGACTTGGCAAGCCGTTCGAAAGCTGTGTTGACATAGTCAATACGGATCAGTTCAATATCTGCATTTATATTGTGCTTCCCGCAGAAGTCTAGCATCTCGTGTCTCTTTCATGCCTCCAATGTCACTTCCACCAACAAGCTTCCGTCCTGTAAAAGCAAGATGATCATTCAAATAAACAGTTGAATCAGCACTGCTTGATTAGATGCAAAGGCAAAATATCGATCCTAATAATACAAAAGAAGTCACATAATTTGATAACTAAATAGTGGATCAGCAAGTATTTTTAGAGGGTAATGGACTTGGATAAAGGAGGCAGAAAGGGAATACTATTCCCCAAATCATTGTTTACTTGGTCTATAAGAAGGCTTAAATTAGCTATCTTTCTTACGGTTCACTAGAGGGAAAATAGGTAGCTCTAAGGGCTTATCAGGCAGGCCAACAGTAACCAGTTTTCCATTCATCTTCAAGAGACCAAGCAATATGGCCAAGGGATGAACTGCAGAAATGGTACCAATGATGAAATCCATGGTTCCCATAGCAGCCTGCAACGAAGAATCCCAATAAATAAAATAATTTTATGTCACTCCAATATTGTTCTTTCGGGTTACTATTCTTGTTTATTTCCAAGTTTATTGCGACTAAAATTCAAATAAAAAAAGTACTTCTAGTTTTCTACGATACCCCTCCGAAAATTAAAGCTGGCAAAAGTGTTGCTAATCAATACATGGTAATTTTTACTTACCTTCAACTGAGCAAGATCAGTACTAACAAGAAAAGAATCAGCACCAAGCTTGTTGATAGCCTCAGATTCTTTCTTCGGAGAGGTGCTGATGACAGTAACTTTCAGCCCAAAGGCCTTCCCAAACTTCACAGCAACATGACCANCCCAAACTTCACAGCAACATGACCAGGTCCCCCAAGTCCTGCCACGCCCAAATGTTTTCCAGGTTCAGTCATCCCATAGTATTTCATTGGACTGTAGACAGTGATCCCAGCACACAGTAAAGGCGCACATGCTTCTGATGACAAGTTATCAGGAATGCGAAGCACAAATGGCTGGTCAACAACAATTATATCAGAATAACCACCTATGTTTTTGTGCCGTCTTGATCCCTGGAGTTGTAAGTAAATATCACTTTGGGACAGTAACTCTCCATGTCTTGTTGGCAGATGTCACACGTCTTACAAGAGCCAACCATCGCTCCAACTCCAACTCGGCCACCAGCCTTAAACTTCTGAACATCACTTCCAGTTTTTGTAACAAGACCAACGATTTCATGTCTGCATAAGTACGTTTCCAACGATTTCATGTCTGCACAAGTACGTTTTTCCAACACTGATCAATGTAAGCTTGGTCTAGAGTGAATTTCAATTATGCTGAATATCACAAATACATTAGGAACTAAATATTAGATATCAATCTGTAAAATTCCTTTAACAAGAGTGAGAACTTGGTAAAATAACAAATTGAAAATTATCTCAACATAGAACGAGGAATGTAAACTTGTATGTACACAAATGTCACTTTGGGGATCACAATAATGAATTTTATCAAAATATGACTGTTATTACTTGATTTTAGCTATTACACCTCTTCCCAAAGGAACAAGAAAAGAAAACAACAAACCTTACCCCTTCCGCTTTCCACACCCCCACAAGATCCTAAATTTGAATGTTTAGCATAAAGAAGGCATGTTATCTCATGGTCTGAGGATTAGCTTTCTTTTGTTGCTCGCAATACAACTCTTGCAATATATTTTTCAGAAAAATGGAAAATCCAACCTGCAGAACATCATGGTGAAAGGTAGGGACATTATGTACTAATTTCAGAAAAATCGAATGTGTAATTAAGGGTAAAAATGTCAAAAAAAAAAATGAAAAGTATGAACTTTTTTCGCAATAATGGTGAAATGTAGGGACACTATGTACTAATTACCCTTTTAATAATTTATTTGGGACTAATTTGCGCTTTTAAAAAAATTAGGACTATGATTGCAATTAATCTTTTTCTTTTTCTTTTTATTTTATTTAAAAAGAATGATATATTTGTCATTTACGAAAAAATAAATGAAAATGACCTTTTGCGCAATGAAATGCAAAAATAAGGGTGAAAATGTCAAAAAATGAAAGATAAATACGTTTTCCACAATTCCAATTAAAGGTGGGAACGTTATGTGCTAATTACCTTTTAAAGAATTATTAAAGCTTCTTCAAGTGAGTAAACTGCTCAGAGAAATATTTATTTCAGTCATGTCGGATTGATATGGGCGTTCCCCATTAGGCCTTTTGAACTATTTGGGCTATTTTTGTCATGGGTTTCTTTTTGACCTGATGACAATAACCTCATTATCTTTATATGCGACAATATCCTTATTTTTACCCAATGCAAATTGCTTATTTGGTATTGGAATAAATGAGCGAACAAAATGCACTTAGTCTAGTCGACATGACTTGAATTATTGGCAGATGTTATTCCAATTATATGTCAATTGATTGGCAGTTGTATCTTGATAGGCTAAGAACGAACTAAAAAATTTGTCACTTCTCATTTATTATCCATGTTGCTTACCCCCTTTAAGCTTAGCCAAATATGCACTATGATTTATTAGTTTTTGTTTGAGCCCATTTTTCGAGAAAATATATTGTAAAAAAGTGATTTTTATGATTAAAAGATGAGAAAATTTATGAATGCACATGTAAAATTATTTTTTTGGAAAATTATGTGATTGNTATCATGGACCACATTATGGTACCAAGTGAAGAGAAGATAAAACTAACAGTAAGTAAATATCACTTGGGACAGTAACTCTCCATGTCTTGTTGGCAGATGTCACGCGTCTTACAAGAGCCAACCATCGCTCCAACTCCAACTCGGCCACCAGCCTTAAACTTCTGAACATCACTTCCAGTTTTTGTAACAAGACCAACGATTTCATGTCTGCACAAGTACGTTTTTCCAACACTGATCAATGTAAGCTTGGTCTAGAGTGAATTTCAATTATGCTGAATATCACAAATACATTAGGAACTAAATATTAGCTATCAATCTGTAAAATTCCTTTAACAAGAGTGAGAACTTGGTAAAATAACAAATTGAAAATTATCTCAACATAGAACTAGGAATGTAAACTTGTATGTACACAAATGTTACTTTGGGGATCACAATAATGAATTTTATCAAAATATGACTGTTATTACTTGATTTTAGCTATTACACCTCTTCCCAAAGGAACAAGAAAAGAAAACAACAAACCTTAGCCCTTCCGCTTTCCACACCCCCACAAGATCCTAAATTTGAATGTTTAGCATAAAGAAGGCATGTTATCTCATGGTCTGAGGATTAGCTTTCTTTTGTTGCTAGCAATACAACTCTTGCAATATACTTTTCAGAAAAATGGAAAATGCAACCTGCAGAACATCATGGTGAAAGGTAGGGACATTATGTACTAATTTCAGAAAAATCGAATGTGTAATTAAGGGTAAAAATGTCAAAAAAAAAAAGTTTGAACGTTTTTCGCAATAATGATGAAATGTAGGAACATTATGTACTAATTACCCTTTTAATAATTAATTTGGGACTAATTTGCACTTTTTAAAAAAATTGGAACTATGATTGCAATTAATCTTTTTCTTTTTATTTTATTTAAAGAGAATGATATATTTGTCATTTCACAATTTTTACTTGAAAAATAAATGAAAATGACCTTTTGCGCAATGAAATGTGAAAATAAGGGTGAAAATGTCAACAAATGAAAGATAAAAACGTTTTCCACAATTCCAATTAAAGGTAGAAACGTCATGTGCTAATTACCTTTCAAAGAATTATTAAAGCTCCTTCAAGTGAGTAAACTGCTCAGAGAAATATTTATTTCAGTCATGTCGGATTGATATGGGCGTTCCCCATTAGGCCTTTTGAACTATTTGGGCTATTTTTGTCATGGGTTTCTTTTGACCTGATGACAATAACCTCATTATCTTTATCTGCGACATTATCCTTATTTTTACCCAATGCAAATTGCTTATTTGGTATTGGAATAAATGAGTGTACAAAATGCACTTAGTCTAGTCGACATGACTTGAATTATTGGCAGATGTTATTCCAATTATATGTCAATTGATTGGCAGTTGTATCTTGATAGGCTAAGAACGAACTAAAAAATTTGTCACTTCTCATATTATCCATGTTGCTTACCCCCTTTAAGCTTAGCCAAATATGCACTATGATTTATTAGTTTTTGATGCACATATATTTAGCCCTGTTTGAGCCCATTTTTCGAGAAAATATATTGTAAAAAAGTGATTTTTATGATTAAAAGATGAGAAAATTTATGAATGCACATGTAAAATTAATTTTTTTGGAAAATTATGTGATTG